AACACAGAAGTAACCTTGCATGCGGCCAACTGATTTTTGACAAATGTGGGAGGAGAATTAGGTGGAAAATAGTCTCTTCAACTCCATCTGCTAAAACACCCAGATATATTGGCTATCTATGAATCGTGTACTGATGTACACCTCTTACCATATAGAAAAATTAGGTTTAAATAGATGTAAAATATGAAAGTCAAAGCATAATATCTCTACAGAAAAATAGAGGGGGTGTGGTCTTGGGCTAGGCCAAACATTCTCAGATATCAGCATTGAAGGCACAGGTATTTGAAGAAATAACACTATCAAAATTAATTCCTCATCTTGGATGGGCACCATTAAAAGATAAATTACAAGCCACAGATGAGAAAAAATATTTGTCAATCAATCATCTGAAAAACATCTTATATCTAGAATATATAAAAGTCTCTCAAAATTCATTTAAAATCAACACAATTACAAAATAGGCAAAATATCTGCAAAGATAATTAATCAAGAAAAATGGATAGCAAAGAAGTATGTGAAAAGAGAACTTGTCCACATGGGTAGTATTTAAGCCCAGATATAATAATAAGGTACAAGACAGAAAAAAATCAGTGTTCAGAATATATTAGAATAAAAAAATTCTATGCAGAAAAGGTGAAAATGTTACACACTTCGCTTTGAGGAGGGGTATTTCATTTTTATGGTAGGTGATAAAAATAAATGAATATTTAAATTAAAATTTTCTTATAATAAAAATACACCACTATTCATCTTCCTCAGAGTAGTTCCTCTTGCTTCAAACACCCTATCCCAATACCCTTGCCACCTTCTAAGGCAGTGTGGAAGTCCCTTTTTGTGGGTGTCATTAACAGGGGGGTTAAAAATTCAGCACTGCTGCTACCCAGTGCCACCCAATGGAAAGGCAGCCTTGTCAAAATATTATACTGCGCCTCTGTCCACCTGTTCACCAGATCCCGCACCACGTAACTTCTGGTCCCAACTAAAATCAAAATGACCACAGAAGGTAGATGTTTTGAATCAGCTCAGGACATCACGGCAGCTGCAACAGCACAAACAAAAACACAAAAGAGGATTTCTACAACTGCTTCAGAAAGCAGCAAGAATGGTGGAGTGTGTTGGAAGCAGGAGGGAGTTGAGAGAGATAGGTGGCAATGTAATTTTGAGTGTACTACTTTTTAAAAATATTTTAAACATTCACCATAGTTTTGATCATGATAGTTCAGGTAACTAAATATTACTTCAGGAAGGATCTGGAAGCAACTAGGTTTCTGTCTCTAGGAAACTGAGTGGGTTAAAAATTAAAAGTATAGGCCCACTGGTGCCGAGATGCATCATTACTACACAGTATGCGACAGTCACAAGGGTAAGATTCCATGTATGCACAGAAACACAAATGTCATTTCAAAATGTAGAACCGAATTAGAAAAGTAAAACAAAGGAAGATAAATAATAAAATCCCATTTATTTAGCACTGAATGCCCACATACCAAACACAAATTTGCAAGAAGACAAAGGAAGTTCACATTAAATGTAGAGTTGTAGCTTATGGGGCCAGGGGCAGGGACTGGTCTATGGGAACAAAAAAAAATGTTAAGTTCTAAATATTCAATTTTGTATACCAAGAATCAAAAAGGGATGTCGGTGCTCACCTTTAATCCCAACACTGAGGGAGACTGAGGCAGAAAAATCACAAGTCCAATCCTTACCTGGGCAACTTAGTAACACAGCCCCAGCCCCTAAGGCTCAGAGTGAGGCCAATAATAGAGCACTACTGGGTTCTATCCTCAGTACCCCCCAAAACAGACAAACACACA